CTGTGGAGAAAGGCCCCTTTTTTGCAGGTTCTTCAAGGGTAAATAAACGGACTCGTGTTCCCTCTTTAGGCCTTTCTATTCTCAGATAACTGCCCCCTCCTCTTTGGTCTACAGCCTGAACGTTGGAACACAGTCTTCCCTTAGACGCCAAGTCTAGTCCAGGCTTCACAATTCACATCTCCTGTCCCTGCCTCCTGCCTCCCCCGGTCTTCCAGCTGTCACTCAGCATCTGTTTCCACTTCCGACCCCAATGCTGCTCATACAGCCATGTGCAGCCCGCAGCCCCACACCTTCCACGGATTTAGTACCTGTCAGGTGATTTCTAGACCATTTCAAAATGAATGGTTTTAAAAAAGCATGTTTGAATCACACATGCCTAAGATCTTAGCTCTGGGGGAAAAAGGAGCTCAATTAAGATCTATCAAATACTGAGATAACACAGATAAGGTGCATATGACATCCACTCTGACTGCTGGGCTTAACATCCTGCAACAATAAATACTGGGTTCTTTTTTAGCTGAAGCCATTAAATAAAACTTTCTTTTGGCCCATCTTATTTTTTTAATTGAAATATATTTGACATACAATAGTGTGTAAATTTAAGGTGTACAATATGTTGACTTAATACATTTATATACTGTACTATGATTACCATTATAGCAATAGTTAGCATGTCATGTAATTCTTTTTTGGGTGGTTAGAATAATTAAGATATAATCTCTTGCAAGTGTAATTATTACAACACAATATTGCTTCTATATTCACTATATTGTGTATTATATCTCATTGCAAGTCTGTCCCCTTAAACAGCATCTCTCCTACCATTTTCAGTCTATCTTAGAACAACGCTGGAAGATATTGTATGGTTATGGGGATCTATGCCATTATTCTATTTGCACCCTTTTAAACTTTTCCACTCAATTCTGTGCGAGGTGCTAAGAGAGAAACTGGTAGGGTTTTGTTTGTTCTTTAGTCACAATTATTTACTGAGCATTCTCTGTATGACAGGCACAAAAAAAGTAAGCAGTGGGGATAAACAACTGGATAAAAGAGATATCAGACATGGTCTAATACTAATCCAGTGGGAGAGAGAGACACCGATCAAATAATCACACAAGTAAACACAGACCGTGCTTCTGGTGAGGGCTACAAGAGGTCCTTGGTGCTGTGAGGCCACCTGCAGAGGGGCCCAGCGGAGGGGCTTCCTGTGACATGAGGACCAGGCTTAGGCTGCTTGGAAGGAAACAAGATAAGGAAAGGAGGGGAGAGAATGCCAGGCAGCAGCAAGAGCGGGTGCACGGTCCCTGTGGTAGGAAGGTGCCTAAAGAGCAAGCGGAGACTGAACCATGGCCACGTGGCCGAACAGGCAGTGAGGCAGGAGAGGAGAGGGGTGAAGGAGGAGAGGAGGGGGTGAGGGAAGAAAGGAGGGGGGTGAGGGAAGAGAGGAGGGGGGTGAGGGAAGAGAGGAGGGGGGTGAGGCAGGAGAGGAGGGGGGTGAGGCAGGACAGGAGGGGGGTGAGGCAGGACAGGAGGGGGTGAGGCAGGACAGGAGGGGGTGAGGCAGGACAGGAGGGGGTGAGGCAGGACAGGAGGGGGTGAGGCAGGAGAGGAGGGGGTGAGGCAGGAGAGGAGGGGGTGAGGCAGGAGAGGAGGGAGTGAGGGAGGAGAGGAGGGGGGTGAGGGAGGAGAGGAGGGGGGTGAGGGAGGAGAGGAGGGGGTGAGGGAGGAGAGGAGGGGGTGAGGGAGGAGAGGAGGGGGGTGAGGCAGGAGAGGAGGGGGGTGAGGCAGGAGAGGAGGGGGGTGAGGTCAGACTTGAGAGGGAGGTAGCAGCTAGACCACTCAGTCCTGCCAGGGCACATGAAGATTTTGCCTTTAGCCTAAGAGTAACAAAAGCCATTGGTTGAGAGGGGAATGGCAAAGTTGATTTATGTTTGTAAAAGATCACTCAAATGATGCTAGGGGAGAAGAGTGGAAGTAAGGATGCCATCCTAAAAAGACGTTTAACCTAATGCCGGCAGTGAGAAACACTTATGAACAACTGAAAGCAACATAAAACTGGGGAGTAAGCCCTGTCACTCAGAGAAAAATTAAGTGGAAAGAACAATGACTGAAGGATTAGGAAAATGGGTTCTAACGGCATCCCTGACACCAATCCCCTGCGTGGGAGGCGGAGCAAGGTTAGGGAGGCAGTGCAGGCACTAGACCTCGGCCGGGTCACTCTAGGGCTGGCCGTCCCTGCTGCTTACCATCTCTGTGCCATGTTTTCCTAGTAAGTAAAATGCAGGTGACAGCTATCTTATGGGGCGGGGGTATTTGGGAGGGTTAAATGGTAATTTATGTTAAGTGGCCAGTTAAGCAACACAGCATACACTCTGTGTGTGGCTGCTACCATTACATTACAATATGATCATGGGTGAGTCGTTTTCCGGGCTTTTCAGTTCTTCAGCAAAGGGAGGGGTTACCCTAGAAGACTCCAATGCTTCTACTAACTCTGAAAGTCCTGTATTTAGGAAGTACAGATCAGTGTGGGCTGGGGTGTGGAGGAAGAAGCTGGGCCTCAAAGCCCAAATAAGTAGAATTTGGATGGATTGGAGGTGATGTGGTGGCCCAGGAGAGGCAAGTCCTAGGAGGCTTAGGTGATGTGACCGACTCCAGCAGGTGCTTACCCAGAATCCACTCCCCCTTCTGTCTCACCACTGATTCTGTTTGGGACAGCAATGTGGCCACTAAAAATACTTCCCCGCCTCCCTTGCAGCTGTGTGGTCATATGACCCCGTGCACTCCAGGGAGCTGCAAGTGGAAGTCTCCTGGGTGCAACTTCCAGAAAAGCTACTGTTTTCCCGATAAAAAGGGCAACTCAACTGGTACGGGGTTTTGCCTTTTATCCTTCCCCCTTTCTTCCTGCCTGGGTCACAGAAGCAACACCTGAAGGTGGAGTAACCCTCCTGCTAAAAAGGCTGAACGCTGTAACTCTGTGGTGGGGCAGGAGTCAGGAGCCTGGCGCCAGAGGCCACACAGCACGGCCCACCTCGGGGTGCCCTGCCACGCGGGCTTCAGGACATGTTGATGGGCCTCTGTTAGATTCCGTAGCGAAAGCTGGGGACATGGAGAAGAGCGGATGCGCATGTTTACATAGCATCCGGGGAGCTGTGGCAGGAGGGGCGGAGGGAAGCAAGCAGGATGAGGAAGGCACAAGCACAGCAAAGGATGAGAAGTAATCCAAGCAGCAGAATAAGACGGAGCCCCGGGCATCCTCGGATGGAATTCAGAGTCCGTGAATCTCTATTTTCAAAAACTTCTGAAACTTAGCAGTTCCTCCTATTATGACTGCAAGGCAATACCTGTGACTCGGTTGCCAGCAGAAATAAAGCACTGTCATTCCACACGTCCTGACTGACTGTTGATGCTCACCGCCACCTGCGATGGTAGCAGCAGCTATTAAAGCCACCTCTGGCTCTTGTCATTTGCCGCATTAGTAAAGTACATGCTGCCATATTACATCCTCACGACCTGGGAAAAGTGGCAAAAGGAAGGGAAATCTTGCTCAGCGCATCGAATTCCCCAGACTCCGGGCCACTGGAGTAAAACCCGCACACAGTCCTCCTGCGCCCGATTTCAGTGAAAACCCAGCCACCGTGTCTGAGGAGTCTGAGGAGGCTGCCGCAGGCGCAGGCGAGGGGTGCAGAGGCGCAGCTGTCTCAGGGTCCAGGTGCAGTTACACCGCCGTCACCATGTTTCTAAAGCCTTGATTTAAACCAAAGCAGATCAAACCCCATGAAAGGACAGGCTACACTGCAATGGAACGCTACTGCATTTTTCAAAAGCAGCTCTGAAATTCTCCTGACAAGTATTCCAAGCATTTCCTTCAACAAGGCAGGGCGCTTTGCAGTAACCACAGCAACCAGGTGACAACACGCCTGGGGGCTTTCCACGCAGTCAAGAGGACACCTGGTTGGGGGACTGCTGAGTGGGGCCCAGGGGGCCAACACGCCCCTTGTGAGAACTCTTCCGCACAGCAGTGCCACACACTCTGGTACAGCTCATTTTTTTAATGCAATTAATAATGTTCACAGCTAAAACTTGTAAGACAATTTTTCCACAAAGAATTTTTCTCACACTGGCTGATGTGGGGACCAAGCCCAGATCAGTGAAGTATCTCTAAAGGTGGGGTCCCACCATGATCCTTTTTAAGAGCCCCCCCCCCCGCCCCCGCCCCGCTCCACACACACACACACACACCTGGGGATTGTAACGAGCAGCCAAAGTTGAGAAACCCTGGTCTCACGGACAGGGGGCTGCTAAGCAGTCAGGAGACTCACTTTCTAGCCCCAAGTCTGCCCTGGGTTCACTGTGTGACCTCGGAAAGTCACTTACATTTCCCTGAACTGACCAGACGAGTGGTGTGCAAACTGTCTTCCTGGTTCCCATGTGGTGCCTCAGGAAAGAGGGAGTGAGGTGGGCGCTTAAGCGATGAGTTCCTTTGACAATTTCAACCAGAGCAGCGCAGTTTTACCAGCTA